ACACGCACACGCACACACACACGCACACACACACACACACCACACACCACACACACACACACACACGCACACACACACACACACATCCCGCACCGCAGCTCCGACCAAGCGATCGACACCGCTATCTCAAGCGATAGGCATCGCTAACCCACGCGCTCGACATCAAAGCGATCGCCACCTCTACCCGTCGCAACCTATTTTGCCAACGATAGGCCGCGCGGCCACCGCGTCGCCGCGGCGGCGGGCGCGGGGCGGCGCGGCGCCGCAAGGGGCCGCGCGCCGCGGCGACGGGCGCGGCGGGGAGGCGGGTGGCCGCGGCGACGGGCGCGGCGGGCTCGCGGGGGCGGCCGCGGCAGCGCTGCCAGCGCTGCGGGGCGGCGGCGCGGGGAGGCAGCCTGGTGACAGTTGAGAGCCGAGCGACTATCTGCTGGATGCATGGGCGCCGAATGGCTAGCCACTTGGCGCCGCCGCCAGCTAACCAGTCAGCTTCCTGGTGCCCATCAGTTCATCGATCTGCCCCCAACTGCAGTGCAACCTCAGAGGCCGCGCGGCCGCATCGCCTGCTCGACGTCGGCGCGCGCCGACGCCGGGCTCGCCGCGTCGCGCTGGAACGCGGCCGCGGCTGTGCTGCACGCGTCCGCCGCCGTCTCCGCGCAGCTCTCGGCCCTCCTGGCGTGGTCCACGATCTGCTTGGCCGCGCCCGTGGACAGCGTCGCGGTTGCCGCGCTCACGGACAGCGGCGCCATCGGCGCCATGGTCTCCTTGAGGGCGGCGACCGCGTTCGACGCCGACGACGAAGAGCCAGCAGCCAGGGGCGCCCGCCACCGCCACCATCGTCTCCTTGAGACTCTCCGCAATCTCATGGAGGGGGCGGGCCTGATCGGCGGCGGCGGCGGGCGGCGGCGGCGAGGGCGCCGACTTGGCGCGGAGGCCGCCGCCGCCAGCGACGACGCCTCGGCAAGCGGCGGCGGCGAGCGAGGTCGGCTCGCCCCTGCGCTTCGGCGAGCGCGGGACGCGGGCCGCTGGCGGCGGGCTGGCCTCCTCGCGCTTGGCGCGGCGGCGGCGCTTGCGCGACCGCGACCGCGACTCGCGCGTGGGCTCCGCGGAGGTGGCTGCTGCTGCTGTTGCTGCGCCTGCTGCGTCTGCTGCGCCCGCTGCCTTGGCCATCTTCCTGGCCCCCCGCGCGCGCCACTCGTCGACGTCCTCGGGGTCGACGGGGGCGGCGGTCACCTGGCGCGCCATCTCGGCCCGCTGCCATTCCTCGATGGGAACATGGCTCTCAGCGGTCGAGTTGTTCAAGTGCTCCTCGTACCAGGTGAAGCACTCGCGCGGCGACTGCTTGAAGCACTTCTCTGTGCAGCCTGGGACCGCGCGCCCGAGGCGGTACCATGTGCGCTCGCCCTGCGCCGACATGGTGCTTCTGTTGGAGCTGCTGTCGAAGCTGCTGCAGCGGTGCTGCTGCTGCTGCCGCTGCTGCGGATGTCGGTGCTGCCGACGGTGGTGTTGGCAGCTGCTGCTGCTGCTGCTGCTGCTGCTGCTGCTGCCGCGGCTGCCGCGGCTGCCACCGCCGCTGCTGGCGCCGCCCGCCGCCCGCCGCAGGCCGCGATGTCGCCCGCCGCCCGCCGCGGGCCGCGATGCCGCCCGCCGCAGGCCGCGCGCGAGGACCGAGCCAACAACGGCAATGGTATGCTGCGCGGTCGAACCATGCCCGCCCACCGGGAGCGATCGAAACCGCTATCCTATATGCGCGCCGCCCACCCCCAAGCGATCGGACTCGCCCATGGCGCCCTCCAGCGTCTCCCTCAAGCCCCTCAGGCCGCGATCAGAATCGCTGCCACCAACTCACCCAGACCGCCATTCCCCCCGGGCGATCGACATCGTTCGTCGCCAACCATCGCAGGTTCGCTTCGCCCCCCCCCCCCCCCGTCAACGATCGGGATCGTTTTTTACATCTGCCAGCCCAACAATTGGAATGCTTCCACCCCCCAGACACCAGACCCGCTCACCGTCGCTAGCGCCGTCGCCGCGTTCGCCGCCGCCGTCGCCGACCATGCGCAGCCGTGTCTGCGCGCGCTCACAAGCGCGAAGTCAAGCGATTATAAGCGAAGCGCCGCCGCCGCGACGCTCACGAGCACGGCGCTGCCGCAACTGACCGCAGCGAAGCGCCGCAGCTGCCGCGAAGCGGGCGCAGCAGCGAGCGCGGCAGCGAGCGCGGCAGCGCAGCGGCTGCCGCGAAGCGCCGCAGCTGCCGAGGTGCAGCGGGCTGCGCCGCTGCTCACAAGTGCTGCATCTGCTGCTGGCGGCTGCCGCTGCTGGCGGCGGTGCTGCTGGCGGCGGTGCTGCTGGCGGTGGCGTTGTCGCAGCCCTTGCCCCTGCCGCTGCCCATGTCCTTGCCGCAGCTCTTGTCCTTGCCCTTGTTTTTGCCGCCGCGTTACTTCGCGTTGAAGAACTCGCGATTCCGACCGCCCCGATTGGCCCAGACACTTCTGGTGGCGCGGTACTGCTGCCCCCGCCACGCGTCGGGGCCGCCCTGCCGCGGGCCCGCAGGGCCGCGCTAATCCCACCGCAGGCCCAGCGCCTTCGCCGCAGCCGACTCCGCCTGAAGGTCAATGACCTGTTCGGGCGTGTAGTTGTTGGCCCGCTTCTCGCGCGCGCTCGCCCACGCTGCGGCTGCGGCATGCATTGCTGCAGCAAGGTCTGCAGTTGCTGCTTCTGGAGCTGGAGCTGCTGCGGCTGCTGACTGCGCCTGCTGCCTGGTCTGCATTTGCTGCTTCGCCTGCCGCCCCGCGGCGGCTGCTGCAGCTGCTGCTGGATGTGCGTTGCCTGCCGCTGCTCTCGCTACTGCTGCTGCAGGCGGTGGCGTTGCTTGTGGTGCTGGGCCTAGGCAGCGGGCCTTCGGCAAAGAGCGTGCTGCTGCTCTCGCTTCTGCTGATGGTGGCGCTGATGCTGATTTTGAGCGCCAAGGCGGTGGTGTTGCTGGTGGCGTTGGCACTGCCGTCACAGTTGCTGCTGCCGTTGCCGATGCCCTTGGTGGCCGCGGCAGCTGCTGCTGCAGCCGTTGCCGCCGTGGCGCGACCGTCGGCACGCGCGCCCTTGGCGCCGCCTTCGAGCGCGGCGGCGGCGGTGCCGCGACGGCGCTCGCGAGCACGTCGAGGGCGTCCGACACCGAAGCCGCGGCCGCCGATAGGCGCGGGCGCTTCGGCGGCGGCTGCTCGGGCGGCTGCGCGTAGATGCCGACGGGCACGCGCAGCGGGTGGCGCTGCGTCGGCAGCGGCGCGCTGTCGCCGCTCCCCGCCGCATAGCTGCTGTAGCTCTGCGGCGGCGGCGGCGACGGCGACGGTGACGCGTCAACTGGCTCCCATCTCCCCTGCGTAGTCATCCTCCGTGACTGGTGCAACGGCTTCGCTGCAGGCGCCGTCGCCCCCGCCGCCCGCGCCGTCGCGCTCGCCGCCGCGCTGGCCGTCGCGCTCGGACTCGGCGCCAGGGCCGCTCAGCTGCGACGCGAACGCCTGTGCCGCGGACAGGAACTCCTCCGCCATCGCGCGCGAGCGCGGTCGGCGCCGCGCAGAGCCGCGGGCGCCGCGGGTGGCGCGCAGCTGCCGCGGGTGGCACCGCGCAGCGCCAAAACGGCTCGCGATGGCAAACTGATCGCTGCCACGGTCGCGCTCACTCTCACGCAACTCCAAGCGATCGAAATCGCCACCCGTCCGACCACCCCTCCCCCAACGTTGGCCCCATAATCCCCCCCCATGCGATCGCGCCCGCTGCAATCCATCTTTGAACCCAAGCGATCGCAATCGCTATAAACCTCATGCGAAAACTTCATCATCATTGTCATCAACCTCGATCTGCCTCTCAACCTCCCTCAAGCGGTCGCCACCGCTCCGCCCAGGCGATCGCCATCGCCCGATCCGCCACCTCCCCATTCCCCCCCCCTCCTCCTCCTCCTCCTCGTCTTCCCCTCGCCCTCCTCTTCCGCCTCCTGCCCCCTCCTTCTCACCCCCTCGCCATCCACCTCCTAGCGGCCGAAACCGCTACTCAATCACGCCTTCCACTTTTCGTCGTTCATATCGGCCGCGTCCCTTTTGCATTTTCCGCGCGCACGCCACGCCGAAGCGCCCCGCCTCCACGCGCGGCAGCGGCCCCGTGCCGCGCAGATGGCGCGCCAGCGCCCTTGCGGCGCGAGCGCAGCGCGGGTGCGACTCACGCGCCGCCCGCGATCGCTTTGGCCACCCACTTCTGGGCCGCCGCGATCGGCTTATCGCTGTCGCCACCGAACTTCGCGAACCTGAGCGCCATCGACTGGCCGCCAGTCGACGGCACCTGCGGCGGCGAGGGCGTTGGCTGGCCGCGCGCGCGACCGCGCGGGGGTGGCCTCAAGGCCGGCGACCCGCCGCAGTCGCCAGCCCGGCCGAGTCCCTAGCCGGGCCTCGCCTTGGCCTTGGCGACCAAGCCCTTGAACTTCCGATCCTCGTTCTCCTGCCGCGCGGCTACCTCTCTCTCGCGATCCGTCAGGCTGGAGACCGCGCTGCCCCCAATTGCCTCGAGGTGCCTGGCCACCGCCCAGCCCTCCTGGCGCGACGCCTCCACGGCGCGGAACCTCGGGGCCAAGAGGTCCCCAGCCTCGCAGATGCGTCCGGACAGCAAGTGGTCGATCGCGAGCGCAAGCGTCTTCAGCTCGCGCGTGTTCCGCAGCCCGCGGCCCCCCGAGGCTGGCAGGAGCACCGCCGCGAGGTGCGTGTCCACGAGCGGCCCGAGGCCGTAGGGATCCTCGCCATCGCCCATGCGGCCCAAATACGTGTGGATCTTCTTCAGGAGCGCCGTCAGGAGGACGGCCAGCTGCCGTCGCGCGGTCCCTGCCGCGGGTTCCTGTGACGACCGCCGGGCCCGGCGAAAACCCGACCTCGAGCTAGATGACCCGCGCGAACAGCTCCTCGAGCGCCTCCGCCGGCGACCACGCGACCTGTCGCGGGCCTTCCTGCCGTGCCTGCTGGCCCGCACAATGGCCCCCTCGATCAAACGATCGTGAACCGATGTGGGCCCCTTCAGCTCCCTGATATTCGCCTTCAGTTTCTCGGCGAGGCGCCCCCCCCCCTCGTCCTTCCTGCGCCCCTCGCGGTCGGGCCCACCTGGCCCAGCAGCCCCGGCGCCGCCGGGGTCGATGGAGCAGTGGGGCCCCGAGGATGCAGCCGACCGGCCGCCAACTTCCCCTGGGGCCACGGGCCCGTGACCGGCCCGCCGTCTCACTGCCGCCAGCTTATCCCCGAGCTCAGCCACGCGCGCCATCGCCGGATCCCAGGGCGCAGGGGCCGTGGCAGGACGACCCATGGCCAAGGCCTCCCCGACGCGATGCCCCCCTGCATGGTCTGGGGCTGGCGGCTGCTCTAATCGCGCGCCTACGGCGGCTTCTTCGAGGGCGGGCCGCCCCGAGGGTGGTCGGCGCCCCCGCCGTCGGCAAGCCAAAGCCCGAACCCGCCGCAATGGAGCGTGGCCGCGCCAGCCGGGCCCAGCGCCTTGCACTCGGAGGTGACGCTGCGGCAGCAATGCACGTGCAGGGCGCCCTTCTTGACCAGCTTCCCCATCTCCTCCGCGGGAGCGGGGGGGCTGGCCTCCACGAAATCGACCTTGTAGAAGCGCTCTCGGGACTGGGCGGTATGCGCCCACTTTGGCCCACAGCGCCTGCCATTGGCGCCGAGCTCCAGAGCGACGCCCCCGCCGGGACCAACGGCTCGAGCCGAGCGGCCCTGCCCACTGCATCGATCAGCTCTTCGTACTCGGCCGAATCGACCTCCATGCCGACACCTGCGACTGTTTCGGGCTCGGGAGCCCGGCGCCCAGCGCCAAGCGCAGCGGCGGGCCTACTCCGCGGGGCCGAACCCGCGCGGTGCGCGCGAGGGGCCGGGGCTGCGGCCGGCTGGGCGCCGCCGCGGGGTGCGCTTGGGCGCGCAACCGCGGATGCCCTCGCCCTAACAACCAGCCGTGGGGCCCCCGCGGCGGCCGGCCTCCGCTTGGGCGCCGTCGGGAAGGCACGCAAGCCTCTCGGCCAGCACGCGCTCGAGCAGGTGAGCCAACCCGCGCGGCGCCTCTCTGGCGAGGCGGAGGTCTGCCGCTGACTGCGAGCGGAATTGCCGCCAGAACTCCCGCGCCCAGGCGGGTGGGCGGGAGATGGCCGCCAGCTGGCCGCGGCGCTCCTCCCTGGGGCGCTTGCGCCCCCTGGGCACGCGCGGCCCCGGCGGCCGCCGGGGGTCGCCGAGCTGGGGAGGCGATGCCGCGCTCGCCCAGCCCGACATGTACACCGAGAAGGCGGCGCCGCATTTCCCGGAATCACTGGGCCATCAAAACTACGGAAGCTGACGAAGCAGGGGAAGGTTCGCACAAACATTCGGGGGTGACGTCATAGGACTATCGCGGGTGATGGGCAGACGAACAGCAGCTGAGCTGACTGGCAGAAGAGCCGAAATGGGATTGGAAAGGGAGAAAGTGGATGGAGGACATAACCTCCGGAATAAGCAGGCAAACGAAGAGATGGCGGAAACGCCGGGGAAGATGTCGCAGGTAAGCGAGGCATCCGCGCCGCGGAGCTGCCATCATTTTTTTTTGGCAGCGGCTGCACGCGCTCTGTTAACAGCGATTGCAGACGCTAGCCCAGACACGCAGCTGGAGCAACAATTGGTTTAAAACATGTCAGAGCATGGGAACGCAATTACACAGCGACGGAGGCGATCCAGAGCCTCGGCCTCTGCCGCGTTCGTGCGAGGATGGAGCTCCGCCCCTTCTCCGGCTGCAACGTCTACGCGCGAGTTTCCCCGGTCCCCCGCGACCCCCCCTCCGCCGACGGCCCCGCCTCGCCCGCGCCCGCGCGGGCAGCCACTTTGCGGGGGCCCGCGCTGAGGGGGGCCGAAATGACAGCGCGCCTGCATAGCGAGGCCCGCGCGTCGCCCCTTGCCCCCCAGCGCCTCTGCAGCGCCGAGATTCTGAGACAAGGCAACATTGGAGCAATCAAAATATAACGCAGCGGGAGCTCCAGTGTGCCAAGCCGCCCAGGCTAGAGCCCCGAACTCGGCCCCCCGGGGGATCTGCAAACGCGCGGGCTTCGGCAGGTTCTAGAATCAGGCGGTCAAAATCAGACTCGAGCTCGGGGCCCACCATCGAGCTTCGGCCCCGTCTAGTTATGCCTGCCGCCGAGCGAGGAAGAACAACGCAGGCGGCGCCCTCGCCGGCGGCCGCCGCGCCGGACGGGGCAGCGAGCGCCACCAGAACCCGGCGCCCTCCATCGAGGAGGCCGCCAACGCAGGAGTGGCAACTGGACGCTCGAAATTGGTTGCGCAACCGCGCGATATTCCTGAGAGACGAGTCGGTTTCGCCACCGCCTTCCTCGAGGATCGGTTTCCAGTGCGTCCAGGGGCGCCAGATAGCCCGCAGAACGGAGTGGCGAACGCGCGCGCTCCCCCCTCTCGTGCGAAGCGGCCTGGCAGGCCTCTCGGGCCGCCCCCAAATCCGCCCCTCAGGAGCCCCCTCGAGGGGCAGCCCCCGCCTCAGGCAACGCGGGAAAGCCAAGAGAACGGTGGGTGGCGAGAGCCTTGGCACCCCCGATAGCTCTGACAACTCAGCGAAACGCGCTTGCGATGGGGGGCGGGGCGAGCCACTCGACGAAACCGCCGACATCAGGCACGGCGAAAACGAATGCGACGCAGCGAAATCATCGAACCTGTTGGCAAGCCCCGCGCCCGAGGGTAGCAAGCGTGCCCCTGAGGGCTGAAGGGCGCAGCTCTCACCACGCCTAGGGGATCGCAAGTCGGCGGGGCTTCAGGGAAGACGTTCCAATCAGCTCCAATGACAAACTCGCATTGTAAACCTCTAAAAATTGAGGTTGGCCTCGGAGAGGGCTCCGCGGCGGCGGAGGTAGATAAAGATGGCGCTTAGCGCCGCGCGGCCAATGGCTTGCGCCATGACCGCGATCGCGCGACCATCCGATAGAGCGCGCTGGTCAGGCGGCGCAACCAGACCGTGGGCGTCCTTCGCGAAGACGCTGGCCACCGAGGAGGGGCATCCATCTTGGCCATGAAGTCCCGGGGCCCACAATCAGTTCCATCCCTGCAACTTGGCCCCTTTCGAGGCCTGGCTCAACCCTGCGTTCTCGGCCCATGCTGCCCCGCCGACGCCGGCGGGCCCTCGTCGAGCCTGCCACTCCGTGGGCCAACTCGAACGGGCGCGCCGCGGTCGACGCCGGCAGGCCCCCGTCGAGCCAACCAATCTGTGAACCAACTCGAACGGGCGCAACTGGAGGCGCCAGGGTGGGGGATGACCAATCCGCAGCCGGGCCCCGACTGGAAGCCCTGTCCGCGCTCGCTTCAGCGAGCGGCCTCCAACCGATCGATGAAGCGGCGGCGCGCAGCTTGCGGTCGTCGCCAACAGATTGCGGCGAGCGCGCGACCGCTGCCGCAACCTTGCTCAGGGCCCTGCGTCTGATCAGCCGGCCGGGCCGAGCGGGGAGAGCCAGCGAGGGCCCTGAATTTTACGGCGTTCTGGGGGGGCCCGGTCTCCGCGGGGGGACTGAGTGGCACGGGGAGAAAGCGAAGACGCACCGGAGGTGCGAATCCTTGCCTTGCGCGCAAGACGGAGCGCCGAAGCGCGAATCGCCGAACCAATCGGGGAGAAGCGTTTGGCGAACAAAAAAGATACCGAGAGCACTGGATTGAGAACTCGAGTTGCCGCCAGATAAAAAGACCCCCCCGTCGCCATGGGGGCCTGGCAAATTCAGGCCGACCCGAGCACGAATGTCAGCGGCCGCAGCGGGGGGCCCAGGCTCAGGGCCAGCTGCGCCGACCGTCGGCGCCGAAGCGCTAGCGCCCCCTCCGACTGGTTCATCTGTCGCGTCTGCCCCTGCACCCCGTCCACGATCGGCTCTACGATTGTTACCTTGAGCACGTTTGCGACTGGGACGTTTTTTTTGTTTTCCTGATGCGCAGCACGCGCCAACTTCGCCGCCGTAGACACTTGCTCGAACAACGTTTTGGGCACGTCCTGGGACCCTGTTCTGCAGCGCTTCCATGCCCTTGGGAAACTCATGCTTCTCTGCGTCCGGCATCTCAAACTCGCTGCGCCCGAAGCTCTCCATGCTGTCGGCCCTGATGATGCTGGCCAGGTCGATATTGCTCTCCATGGCACCGTGCAGCCTGGCCGCAAGCGCGTGGGCTCAGCAGTGCCTGGGCCCGCTGCACCCCCCACGCCGCTATCCGTTCGGAGTTTCTCGACCGCAGCTTTGCATCCTCATCTGCCAGTGACAGCAGCCGCCTGGACTCTCTGACCTGGCGCCCCAGCTCGAGAGCCACTATTTCCACTTGGCCCGCCGTGAGAGCCGAGACTCGGGCTGCCTCTCCCTGCGACGTGCAACACCATGGTGCTGTTGTGCCAACTGATGAATGTTGACCCCGACGGGCTTCCCGGTGGCCCCCGTGCTGGCAGCAAGGTCGGCATAGACCATACCTCTCGCAACGTCCCCCGCACATCTGCTTGGACTCCACCGCGCTGACGGCTAAGACAAGTCCAGCGGGGAACGGCGTCGCGCTTCATCCTGAGCCAAAGACAGACGATAGGGTGAATGAGCCACCGAAATCTTGCCAGTCGGGCCAGGGTGCATCAACATATGACATATTCTTACATGGCCATTTGCGTTTTATTCTTTCACTGGCATCCATTCATATTGCCGTTGCATCCACACGAGGCGTATACTCCGAACCAGCCTGGGGGGCGCGACCAATACTTGGAAATAGAAAAAACCAGGATCGGCGCCAGGAGCCTGAGGAAACTGGGCGTGACCATGTTCGCGTCACTTCGCGCTGGGTTGGTTCTTCCTGCAGACACACGACGCGCACCGAGCCGGCGCGCGCCCCTGATCGTACCAAGGCTTGCCCCCAACCTTGGTGTACCAGTCTCCGCCCTCATTTGATCTTCGAAATGCTGAATCCAGGGGTAAAGCGAAAACCGTGGAGCCCGCATCATCTCAGAAAAACGAATAAAAAGGGATGTCCCTGACCCAGACCGTAATCACGAAAACGAGCTTAGCGGTCCACATCCGCCTCCTCCTCCTCCTCGTCCTCCTCCTGCCTCCTCCCTCCTCCCCCTCCTCTTATACCCCTCCTCCTCCTTCTCCTCCTCCTCCTCTTCCTCTCCTCCTCCTCCTCTTCCTCCTCCTCCTCCTCCTCCTCCTCCTCCCTTCTGCCCGTCCCTCGTCCTCGTCCTCCTCCTCCTCCTCCTCCTCCTGCTTATCCTCCTCCTCCTCCCTCCTCCTCCTCCTCCTCCCTCCTCCGCCTCCTCCTCCTCCTCCTCCTCCTCCCTCCTTCCCGTCCCTCGTCCTCGTTCCGCGAGTCCTCGTCGCCCGGGACGAGGCCCCACAGAGGGCGCCCGACCTCCGACGATCGCGGCGGAGGTCGCCGCGTCGAGGCGGCGAGGGCCTTTGTCGTTGATGGGGCGAGCTGCCCCTGGAGTTCCAGTAAGACTGCAGGGCTCCGCGGTCTGGGTTTTGAGGCTCGGGCGGGGCCTTTTTAGGAGAGTGGTGGTTGTTTGTGGTGGTGGTGGTGGTGGTGGTGGTGGTGGTGGGGAGCAGGAGAAGAAGGAGGAGGAGGAGGAGCGGGAGAGAGGAGGACCTCCGATCGTCGTGGGGGAAAGGCGTCTGGTGGAAACGGGTCCTGGGAGCTGGGGCATCCCTTGGGACCAGTTTCGTACCGAGTCGTTTCCCGACGGCCCCAGGGCCCAGTGGGCGGCCCGAGAGGCCAAACATTGGGAAACCTCCAG